CCCGTTCGAGCCCCTCCACTGTCACTACATCATCAATCGCCAAGATGTCGAGCCAGCCCTTGCTCCAGACGGCGCCAGGTACGAGCACGGTACCCCATCGGCTCTCGTGCGCCAGCTAACATGTCCCCCAAGGCAAGCGCATCGCCCTCCCCGTCCGCGTCGAGCCCAAAGTCTTCTTCGCCAACGAGCGCACCTTCCTCTCCTGGCTCAACTTCACCGTCGTCCTCGGCGGCCTCGCCATCGGCCTCCTCAACTTCGGTGACCGCGTCGGTCAGATCTCCGCTGGCCTCTTCACACTCGTCGCATTGGCATCTATGCTTTACGCGCTTGTCACGTTCCACTGGCGGGCAAAGAGCATTCGGATGAGAGGGCAGGGTGGTTTCGATGATCGATTTGGGCCAACGGTATTGGCTATTGCGCTGTTGGCGGCGGTGGTGGTCAACTTTGTGCTCAGGATCACGGGGGCGGGTGGGGATCACAAGTGAGGACTATCCTAGCGGTCCTCGGCGGCACGCAATAGTGCAAGAGCGATATTGTGTTGCAATCTGGAAGTGAGAGTAAGCCAGGCCATGGTACACCCCACGAGCGAGGCCCACTGTTGGCAAATCTGGCCAGACGGGCACCTGGACAATATGTGGTGATGTATGTACATATGATACGCTAAGCAGCGAAAAGGCAAGTCGCAGGACACTGATGTGCGTTCCAATGCGTTGAGCTTAGCGACACCGCACTCTGACATAGCGCTGACCCATTCGATGTCCTTCGAACCCGGAGCGACTTAGCAAGTGAGTACGACCGTATACATACAGCAGTTACCATTCACAATGCCGTTTTCCCTGCAGCACAGACATGTCAGCAACAGATGGACTCACGCAAGCCACGATGGAGGACGGTCCCGCAGCATCAAACATCTTTGGAGGTCAACGTCCCGCACCAGGCACTCACCGGAACGGTAGCGGCACGAGCATCGGACACAGTCGGAGACGCAAAGAGCATGTCATCGGCGTCTCACCTTCCATCGATCTCCTGGCTCCAGACGCTCTCCAGAGCCGGACATGCACGAGCAGAAACCACATTCGACGACGCGGAGAACAAGCCAGGTCCCAATTCACCTCACAGCCAGGGGAAGCGCTGCGCGGTATCGCGCTGCACCTCTCCCCAGACGACTTGATCCATCTCGATCGCATCTACAGAGTCTCCGCGTCACAGCAGATGCTTATGCAGCGGCATTGGCTGAAGAGATCACTACGCCGGAACTTGCGAGGCCGAGAGACCGATTCAAGGGCGTGGCTCCCGGCAACGAAGAGTGGGACGGCGAGTGCGCCGCGAGGGCAGCCGTTGTCTTGCCGTCGCTTGGACTGGAGCCAGTACAGCTGGCTGATGAGGGTGCTGTGTACGCTTGGCCCCATACCGGACCGTTCGGGAAGCTCGTCGATTGTGCTCGGCGTGACTGGATCAGCTGCGGGGCGGCGAACGGTCTGCTCCAGGCCAGGCTGCTGGAGTTGGCCGAGGTGGTGCCACTCCCGCTGGATCGACTGAAAGCGAGGGCTCACAGCAACAGGACGCCACCGACGACGCACGTCGCCATGTCCAGATCATCAGATCAGCGCCTCGATTGCAGTAAGTTGAGTTGTGGGCCGACGCTGTCGAACATCGTCAACACGAAAGTGACACTCCCGGCGACGCTGGCAGTCATTCGATCGGCCGCATCTCGGGTGCAGTAGCGAAGTTGTGCCCCCTAGGATGGCGAAGCTGAACGGAGCTGTGATACAAGCAATGTGAAGTGACGGACAGTGTGACCGTCGTTGGCGACGCTTTCGTTCCCACACCAACGTCAGATCTAGCGGTGCAGATGTGATCCATTGATGAAATGGTGATATGCATTGCATGCGCTACTCATCGCGTGGCAAAGTCAATGTCAGCCACTAGGAAAGGCACGCAGGGTCCAATCCCACTGTGCGCTCCTTTGAACTGGCGGCTGGGCGGGCGGGACCATCTCACTCCGCAATATCCACTCTCCCACCGTCTGAGAAGCTGCATCTAGACTCCTAGACTCTCACCCTGCGGCTGATGAAGACTCGTCGCTCGACAACCGCGTCTTGCAAGCGCGCGTTGGGCGACGATGGAGGAAAAGTTTCTACAAGCCACAGTCGTCGATGACGGTCACGCGCGTCGAGGGCAGAGATGCAGCCCCTCCTCAATCCCTCTCGTCCAGCTAGGTGTACCTCCATAGGTAGAGCCATCGGCGTAGCTCTCGGTCATACCTCATTACTCTTGGCCCTCCGCCGCGACTTTGGGCATCATCCGTTACTCACGCCATTCCAGACATCTAATATGATTCAGCAGCACGCAATGGCAGGCGACAAGGCGCAGACGAACCACGTAGAATGCCCCGACCACGAAGCCGCGCTCAGCGGAGCTCTAGCTCTCGCCAACCTCTTCAGTACTTGCGTCGAAGCATTCGGCTTGATACACCCGTCGCATAAGTGGGAGAAGGAGGAGCAGCAGCTGCTATCGCGACTGGGCATACAGCAAGCGCGGCTGCTGATATGGGGTGACGCGGTCGGGATCACGTCGCCACCGGCTTCGGTCACGAACCACGCTGTGCCCAAGCATCCCAGCTCGGCATATCCCGACCTGAAGGAACCAACGTTCTTTGGAGCGCGAGATGCAAGATTGGACGAGGCGGGGCCGAGGTCGAAGGTGGAGGATGCGCTGAGCGCCATCGTGGATCGGTCCGCGGGACACAGTCGGGAGGAGATGATGGAGAAGTATGGACTGAAGGCGCCGAAGCGCCTGGCGTCTCTGTCGGAGCCGGCGCTCGACATCTTCAGGCTAGACGCCTTCCGCGAGAAGTACGAGCTGCTGCAGGAGGTCGGGCAGGACTACGCGCAGCTTAGCGGCAGAAGAAGCAATTCGATGATACAGACTTCGTGGACGATCGCGGACCAGACACGCTTCTATTACTACCTCCAGCTCACGAAGGAGAAGCTCGACTTCCTCATCCAGCTCATGGGCGTCAAGGATCGAGTCGACAGATCGATGCGCATGGACATCAAGGCGCTCGGCTGGCATCTCACGGCCGACAGACGGCGCATTGCCCAGGATGTATCGAAGCTACGTCTCCTGCAGGCAGTGTGCAAGGAAGACTACCCAGAGTACGTGGAAGCGACTCAGATCGCGCTCGACAACATCACTCGAGAAGCTCATGAAAATGCCGGGACGCCGATCCCATACACCGCGGTACCCATCCCTGGCGAGACCCCAGCAGCACCGAAGGCTCACACCAACGGCGCTGCCAAAGAGCAGAAGCGGCCCAGCGGCCTCTTCGGCATGTTCAAGAAGTTCGGCAAGTCGCACGACCGCGTGCCCACCAAGGGCCGCAGCATGAGCGTCGCGTCCACCGGCGAGCCGCCGCGCTCCCTCTCCGACGCCGGCCCGACGACCGCGATCCCGGAGGACGACTACTACGAGGAGGACGACTCGCTGGACCGCATCCGCTCCAAGTCCGTGGGCGCCATCCTCGACACGCCCGCCATGTCGATGGACGAGGAGTTCATCAAGAGCAAGCTCGAGGCGATGCGCACGCAGGATACGGTCAAGGAGCCCATGTCCTCGACGGATGACTTTGGCACGGTGATCTCGAGGCACGACCAGTATCATGGGATCTCGAGGACGGCGACGAAAGATCAGCGGCAGGGGTGGTGAGGGCGTTGTGTGTGCGGGGGCAGTTGGCGGTGCGGGTTGGGTTTGCTCTGGTGCTCTTATACCCCCTTTTGCATGATGCGGTCTGGTCGCTGATGTTGGCTTGTTGCGTTATCACCACTTTCTCTTAGCCATACACGCTCGTAATAAAAGCATCGATCTGGCAGTCGTTGTTCTTGACATCATTGGCCGTTCGATGTTGCAGCTATCCAGTAAGGGCGCGGATAGCACCAGTCTGCAATTGCTACCTCACCTGGTGCACGCCAAGATTTGATGCCGTTTGGCGACTCACATCCTCCGGATCTAAATCTGGCGGGCCTCGTGCCCACATCAACTCCCACGCGCTGGATCAGTGGAGCCGAGCGCCTGTCGCGGGAGGCCTGCCACGACACAACCCACGTCCCGGCACTGCTGCTGCAGTACAAGCTCGATACAGAGCATAGACATAACGGACTTGTCATGGACGCGCTGTGTGCTTCGCGGAGCATCGACGTCGTCACGCTCTGGGTGTCATCGGCAAGATTACAGATCGAGATAAGCGGGCAGAACTTGGCTGGAGAGCCATACTACAGGACCGTCCTGGACATCGGGATCACCTTTGCTCTGATGCGCCGGGGCCCCAGCGGGCCGAAGGTGAAGCCTGACAGGCAAATCCCGAACGAGGAGCAGTGCAAGGCTATGCTGCGCAGGCAGGTCGGCGCTGCAGCAGGTCTGTCTGTGAGACATCTTGGTTCTAGGCTTTCCGATGGAGTCGGACTAACATACATCTAGCGCCGCAAGTTCGCAGCAATCACTCATGAGGTGACTTTGTTGAGCGATATCGTTATGAGCCTTCTCGGAGCCCAATGCACACAAGCGTAGGGCAGCTTGACTGGGCAAGTACCCAGTCCTACGACGCCGGCGAACATGACAATCAGAGCACAGTCTGTAGCTACCGACTTACAAGCGTCGCGGCCAGGACCCGGCAGGATTGTTTCGACCTTGTAGTGCAGACGGAGTCAATGGCTAGGCTGTGCCGGTCGCACTCATCGTTATCCGTGGGACGGAGAGGGTCGTAGTACACATCAGCTTGGGCAAAAGTTCCATGTGGTAGTCCAACGCAATGGGAATTTGCATTCGCGTCTCAGAAGTGCACGTAATGGCCGAACCCCGCAGGTCAATTATACGGACAACATGGTGAAGAGACGGGTATCACCGGCGTTTGGTAAACAGCCATCCGCGCTCGAGGTTCATCGGCCACGACTCATGTCAAGTCTTTGGCCTTCATATAATATCATCAAATCCTCGGCTTTCATGGTGAGATGGCCGAGCGGTCTAAGGCGCCAGCTTAAGGTGTTACCCGTCAGGGTGTGATTCTTGAGCGCTGGTCCGAAAGGGCGTGGGTTCAAATCCCACTCTCATCAATATTTTTTGAGCTTTTTTGTTACTTGAACATCATGTACGCGTAGGTGCACAACTGTAAGGTATTGTTGCACGCCTCTTCACGCCTCTCGAATGTAGCCGTTCTTGGCAGTTGCGCAAATGCGGGTCTTGGCAGTCGTGGAGTTCAAGTATGTAGCTAATCGCATTATTTCTACGATCCTGCTATTGAAGCTGAATCTTTTCACAACTGAATGCATTTGATACCCGCTTTACGGCATGAGTTGGCAGTGTTTCAAGCCTCCTCGTATTCGACCCGACGGCAAGATGTGGCAGGGCAGGGTTGTGCGCCTCCGCGTCTATTCTAACTCTGGTCGAGCCCCTCATTATGGCCGACATCACTCCATCCCTCCCTACCATGGCAGCCTCCATCCACACACACTCGTTCGTGAGCGGTGGGGTACATGACCTTGAGCGCCAATGCACGCATGGATGGCGCAGAGTGGCCTTGCCAGCCCGTCCCTGACCCCGTGAAGCGTCTCGTAGCCCGCTTCTACCGGCTGATCGATGCTACCGCGCCGAAGTGCAGTCAGCAATTGGCAGACCACGTCTTTACCCTTGATGGCGAGTTCGTCGTGAACAAAAGACGAATGGTTGGGCGGGAACGTGAGTGCATAGCCTTGACGCTTCGACATCCATGCTGTGGTCACTACTAACATTCCATATACAGAGATCGTGAACTGGCACGCGGGCGGCGACGACATCGTCGCGCGTCGCCACGAAGTCCACAAAATCTACGTCTGCAGCGACAGCGGCGAGGACCTCCTCATGACTGGAACCCTCACGATGCAATCCGACGTCGGCTTGATCGGCGAGACGTCGTACACCGCACGATGCGTAGTCGACGACGCCTCGTCCCTGAAACCCAGGGTCGAACTCTGGCAGTTCTGGCTTGTACGTACAGTGAAATCACGTCCACGGATCGATCGTGCTCGCTGACTTGGTGAGCAAGGATCCCACGCCGTTCTTCGACCTGGGCATCATGCGCCCGCCGATGCGCAAGATGTCTGCCAGCGGCATCCTGGACACTATCGGAGGACGTTGAGCTGCCTAGCGCCTGACCTGGCTGGAACTAATGTACATATAACTCGGTGAACACGGCCATCGAGAGCGTCTGCTTTCCAGCGATCACATTGCCGGGTGGCTCACGATACCAACCACTTTACAACGACCGGAGCACACCTTGAGGTACCAACATAGCCAGAGCATACACAACTAGTCTCACACCGTGCCTTTATACAAACGCGGGTTGTATTTGAGAATAAGGACACTCAAAGGCCAACGACGAACAATTCTCACTTTTCTGCGACACGCTTGGTCGGCCGTCCCCCGTACCTCACCCAGTGGACTTACGCAGGGGCGAGTAGAGCGATGGCAGGCTCGCCCCGATGTGTATGGTGGAGACGGGAGGACGTCCGAAAGCTCTCGCCGTAAGCTCCCTTCCACCCCCTCTGCCTTGCAGGCCGAGTAGCTTCGAGGCTGCAGATGGTTGGCACTTGGGGCAGGCCAACGCGTCGCTCAAGCGCGTAGCCCGGGCTTCTCGACCACCACTCGTTCGCCACAATGTGCTAGCACGCCCTGACCATGAAGACAAGTGGCTTGCGGTCACAAGAGGCTCCTGACATATGGATACATGTACACAAGATACATCCCTCTCGACCCAACCGATCCCCAGCTCACTGCCCACTCACTCCCGCGCGTCCCGTCAGTCAATCGACAGACACGAGGCCTCCTAAGCCCCTCCATCCGTCGCCGACGTCGAGGAGCTTGAGGGCGTCCCGCCGCCATTACTGACCTCGGGCGCCTCGACAAACACCGGCTCGGGACTACCCTCCCGCTCCACCGGGTCCCTCGCCCCAGGCACCTCGAGACTATGCAGACTCCCACTCCCCTCCGACCCGCCATTGACCTCGCGCGGCTCCCCATTCACCGGCTGCTGCTGCTGCTTCTCCACTTTCGCTCTCTCCCGCGCCAGCAGATTCTCATGCACCTCCCTCCGCGTCCGCTCCTCCCGCGCCTTGCGCACCCGCTCCACCTCCTCCACCCCGCCGCTCTTCTTCAGCCGGCCATCGTCCACGAACGCGCCCAGTTCCTGCTGGAACGCGCCGCCCTTGCGGCTCTCCAGCTCGCGCCGCCGCGCCCTCTCCGCCCGCTCGATGGCTTCCAGCCTACTCTCGTGGTTGGGCCGCAGCGCGCGCACCTCCCCCAGCACGCCATCGCGCGCCTTCTCCGGGTCGCCGTCCGCGGTCCCGCCCACGGGCCGTAAAGTGCGGCTCCCGCTCCTCTGCTGCCCGGCCCCGTCCCCGGAGTGCCTGCCCCCTGCACCCACACTGCCACCCGCCCCCTCCTTTCCTCCGGTCCCCGCAGCGCCCAGATTCTGCTGCCGCGTCGCCATTTCGACCAGCCCAAACGTCTTCCCCGCCTTCTCCAGATCATCCTCCAGATCCATGACCAGCTCCTCCTGCATGGTCAACAATTCCCGCTCATCGCACACAACCCGCAACTCGCGCTCCCAGATCCGCGTCCACGCCTCCTTAGCCTCCTTCAAGAAGCTCTGCAACTTCTTGAGCTCGGCAGTCGCGACACTGATCTCCTTGCTCACCGTCTCCAGCTGGCGCGGCAGCGGGCGGACGCCGCGCAGCACGACGTCCTTGCGCAGGTCCTCCACTACATCCTGCAGGTCGTCGACGCGGTTGACGATCTTCTCCGAGTCCTCGGCCAGCGTCTTCTTCCCTTTGTCCACGCGCGCGCGGCCGGCGTTCGCTTCCGTCGTCGGGTCCGCGGTCTCGGCTGCCGTGCTCTTGACGGTCTCGGCCTTGCTGCGCAGGGTGGACATGCTCGTCTGCATGTCCGCCACGAAGGCCGTGTACGTCTGCCGCACGACCGCGAGATCCCGGCGCAGACTCCGGATCTCCTCCATCTGCGCCGCGCTCCCCATCCCTGCCCCCCCCCTCTCGAACTTCCCAGACGCCGTGCGCGCCGGTGTACTCGCACCTCCCCGCGGCACCGCCGCCCACTCCTTGACCGCCGCGCGCTGCGCCTCGCTCACGCCCAGCAGCAGCGCCTGCTGCTCCTCCACCACCCCGCGCAACCCCTCGACGCCTCTCTTCACGCCCCCCAGCCCCTCCTCGAAGGCGCGCTTGACCTCGTCCAGCGCCTCCACGTTCAGGACCAGCACACTCCGATCCCGTACATCCTGCAGCATGCCCTCCAACTCATACCGCACCCCGCTCACGGGGTCCTGGATATAGATCTCCGGCAGGTCGACGCCATGGTTCTGCGTGCTCCACGCGAACTTCTCGATGAAGGCCAGCTGCAAGCGGGG